ATAGCTTGTGGAAACTATCCGATCATGGACAGATCTCATGAGCTTATGTAAAAATATCTCCGGTTTTTGCACTAAAACCGAGGAACCGATTGGCTGCCTGAAATGGGTTGAGGTTGTGGGCCGGCGGCCCCTAAACTTTATCTCAATTACCCTCCACATCTTGATTACGACTGTAGCGAGAGAGAATCTTTCTAGTACACTGCTGGTCTGTTCCAATACCCCATACATCAACAGGTCGAAACTCTCGTGATTCTGCCCCAATTCTCTGGGCTTCTCTTTTGGGCTGTAGGGCTTAATCACGAGCAACCTAGAAAGCAAGTGAGGCAGTAGCCCGGGCCTGAATCCTTCATGACCACCGCATTCTCTCACCGAGCAGGCGATTCCATGGGTCGTCCAGACTAAGTAGTGGAAATGATTTGCGGTTCCGCTGATGATCGTCAGCTGCGCTCGTGATTCCACGGTCTCTGTCTAACTAATTTCCTCCTGACTTGGGTGTAGTTCAAAACAAATCGTACGCTTCACCCCAAAGATTACCCTGCTTTCGACCATCGACCCTATCAAATCCAAGCAGTCGTATTACCTTGAGCCAACAAGAATGCCGTATTTCCATTTTCCTAGAGCCCCCTTGCTACCATGTCCTGTCTCCCCATGGGAACACTCATAGTATCGTAAATCCTTATACGCTGTCCGCAGTACTTACCGGGCCACATAACACTCCGATGAAATCCTCCTGGTTTTGCATGGCAAGAATGAAAATGTGCAGGTGGGCCCGTTCCAAGGGCACCACCATCGTGCTCGAGTCCTTTGACTTTGGGACATCGTCTATATTATTTTCATTCCAAAGAAGGGCGATTGCTACTTCCTCTACCGAATACATGGAAAGATATACTACCACACTTATATTTATCATGCCGAGGCTTCATTGCTGATCACAGCCTTTGATGTAGGAACGTGCACCAGGACTTATTTATCAAGATAATTGGCCACTGTTCCTTGGACATCGCTATGTAGCGATCCAGCCGATGAATGATGCTAAAGTGCATGCTCTGTTCGCCAGTATCTCAGCTTCCTAGCAGCACAGACACGATGCACATAGTCCCACCTCCAGGATGACGATCGTGTACTTTTAGACCGGTACGGAAGCGGTGCTGGCGTCAAGCGGTCTATGCGGGACACTAACAGATGATTGTGATTTCTCCTCTAGGCCAATAATTTAACCTCCTTGATATACTGTCCCTTGGACCGACGATGAGATTCCAATCGTCGGTCCGCATTCAAGCGCAGTATTTTCGACCACTTGACGAATCATTTCACCGTCTATCCCTAGATACACGTCAACAGAACGTCGTATTTTAACATCAAGAATTTGAACCAGTGAGTAGATGTCATCTGAATTCACATTGCAGGAACCGTTCCACTTCCAAATTGTACATAGCCTCAATCCGGTGAAGAACTCTCTGTGTGTGTTTCGGCAGCGACAGAAATCGGTCTTTGAGACCTTCGAGGCGCATTCTTGACGAAGAAGCTTGGTTTTTGAAATTTCGTCTTGGCTGCGCTCGACGGCGCTCTGACTTTGGGAGTCTATCTTCCAGGAACTTCAAGAGACGGCGAAGCTTCTCCGCACTTGGAAGTCCGCCGATACAGAGAGAGAATTCAATGGCGACGCGGTTCATTTGGAGGAGAGATTCGCGATCCTGTGAAAGACGGTGGACAGCAGCGTGGCGGATGCCAGAAACCAATCTTTGCCATTTTTGTATGGTGTTAGCGGCTTGACGGCAAGAGCTACACTGTATCCTGTCTCGATGTTCCACCAAGAATCTGAAAAGCCTGTGTAGCTCCAGTTCCTCCGGGCATGTCCACCCAACCATGAGAGACTCCTCCAAGAGCCAGTGAACGAATTGAAATACATCCAATTCGAGATGTCGCTGTGTGGCTTGGAGAATAAGATTTTGTGCGCGGAAAGGGATGCTTGTTATTGGAACTCGGAGAAGTGAGTATAGACCTTGTAGGACTGTTGTTCGAGCCCATAGATAAGTCGGCGCGCTCCTAAATTTGTAACTTGAACTTACTGAAGATGGTGTCGACCTTCGCTCGGCAACGTTCAATTAATTGTTTTATCAACCTGAGAGCAGTGCGTTAGTAACAACTTCCAAATTGGGAAGACTTGTCGTGATCTCTTACCGCTTACTCACAGGCTGAGATAGCCAAGAAGATCTGGTCGAAGTGCCTCCGGCCACATACCGACTTACTGTGAAAGAAACAGTGCTAGTGTCAGACTGGCCTTGTTTGTTGGTCGCTGTATCATTCTGATTCCACTGCATAGAGGCACTTGGATGGGATCGCACTTCACACGATTGGCCGCGGCGCAGAACATCCTTGGCTGTCAAAGCTTGGTCTTCCGGCAGTTTTGACACCTGTACATGGAACGTTCCTGGTAGCTGGTGCCGACTTTGACGCCTTGGGCGTGCCATCCTGGAGAAATTGAGAAGACGATTGGTCTCCTTGGTGGGAGAGCAACTGGAATATTAATCGGACTGAGTTTTACAAACAAATTGCCCTGTGCCTGAGTGAATTTAAGGGTTATTAATTACGGGATCCACGGAATCATTGTCTGCGTTCGACCAGGGTACCAGCAGAATGTGGTAGTAGCGTTGCAGTTTCGCGAGGTGGGTGGCGATCGACGAGGAACCAGATCCTAGCCCTTGGTAGCTCAACTGGTTCATATGGTTGTCCTGAGAACTGGGCTCGGGTTCCTATCGTTGGCTTTGCAGCAAGGTGCAAACTTTAATCTATTTTCTGTCTAAGAAAGACAATCATAATCTGGGATGTGGGGCTATTTTCGTCGTATCTGTGCCGCCAGGTAACATAAATCCCGTTGATGGCAACATAGTTGGCTGCAAGCAGGCATAGGAACTAAATTTCACTCATAAAGTGCGGTGCTGCAGCATGGAAATAGCTGATTCAAGTGGTGCTCTGAAAAAGAAGCCAACCACGGGTACAATTGAGAGTGACTGCCGGCCTCAAAATCTCCCAAACTGTAACTTGAGCTTCCGTTGAAGCACTTCAACCTCCATTAACGAGAAGGTGGGACTTTCTGTGGCCGCATTTAAATACAATCCCTGGCCAGCCCAGCAGAAAGAAGAAGGTTGAATTTAAAGCAGCCTAGGCAGATCTTGACTTCTTCACTCGTTGTCGATATATTCGAAGTTTGAACACAGCCGAAATCTGCCTCTGATCAACGTTGACCTTATTAACAGTTCAACGCCGCCATCTAAGAAGCACAGCAGTTACTCACATCAAAGATCATTATATCGATTACAAAAACCCACCATTATTTGTCTTCGGGCAGCCTCGCTATTCGGAAAAGGTGTCACTTTCGCCTGCAAATACTCAAAAACATCCAGAAAAATTTGATTGTACTTCGGTATTGTATAAGAAAGCAAGATGCTAACGGGCTTCATAACACTAAGGTGTCATATAACATCGAATCTTGACTTTGATGGAAAGGGTTATTAGAAGCGTCCAATTTGGATAATGATTATTACGGCCACCTTTTCAACACCTCAACAGCTCAACACCACCTAGCTGGACCAGATGCTGCGACCCTTATTACATATATAACATGGTCGACTAAATTTTCAAGTGCCTTTTATTCTGCTTCAGGTTTTCTATCGCCTGATACATAACGACCAACAGCTTTTGGTCCGTTTAGCTCAAGCAAATTGGAGAAATCCCTTCATTCATTCTATTGAGTGACAGGTCAGCCATCTATCCAAGCATCTCGCGATGTCTCTTCTCTCTCTCCCACCGGAAATTATTTTGCTCATTTCAAGCAATTTGGACTCGCCAAAAGACCTTCTCGGCTTCCTCCGAACGAGCCAAAAGCTCTACCATCTCTTGATCACTGAGCTCTACCAACATAACATACGCTCGGATGGTGGACCGGCCCTTTTATGGTACGCAAGTCGTGGGGACGAACTTGGAGTCCGGAACATGCTTCGTGTGGGTGCGGATGTTAATATCCGATCACCAACTCGCGCACAGTCGACAGCTCTTCTGGAAGCGGTTTCTACCAATCACACCAGTGTTGTACAAGCCCTTCTAGAGAATGGGGCTTTGCCAGATGTGGCCGATGCCCGATCTAGACGACCCTTGGTTATGGCGACAAATGGTCGTAGCGACATGGCGATCACCAAGTTGCTCCCAGATCACGGCGCCATAGCCAATTCCGTTGCGTTTGACAAACATGCTCCATTAAGGGAGGCTGTCCGTTCAAACCAGGAGTCCACAGTGGCATTGCTTTTGAAGCATGTTGCTGATACACATATCTTGGACCGCCGATCTGGGATGAGCCTCGTGCACCTCGCGGCTTCCAAGAACGCTACCCCCGGAATTATCGACATCCTCATAGCATTTTTGGTGGCTAGGAATACGCGTAAGGTTGAAAAAGTAGGAAATTTGCAATATGACTGAGAATTGCAATTTGGCTGAGGGACACACCCTACCCAAAGGGTGGGGGTCGTCCCGTGACACGTCTATATGATGATACCTTCCCTCTTCTCCCTGGAATGATCCCAACAGGCCGGTAAATTGCTTGGGCAGTAATAAATATTCTCTAAAACAGAAATGAAAATTAAAGGGAAGAAAATGCACATATTTGCTGATATTAAACTGATGTCTTTTGTGAAGAAGCGGGTAGGAGTTGAATATTGACAAGCAGCTGACTGCTGACCGCTCACGTGCATCACCAGCTCACGGCTGACAGATCCCCCAAGACCGGATTGGGCTTCAATGGTTGCCAATCATTTGACGACTGCAACCATGCCACGGCTAATGCTATGTCCCTCGTCGGCTAAAAAGCCTCGAATGCTGAGCTTTCCCAGCAAATCATCCGATGCAAAGCCACCATCCTCGAAAAAGTTGTTATCGTCGAAGAGAGTGGTTCAAGGTTTGTCTGCGGATGTTGTGGATGAAAGAGGCGAGAGGGAACTGACCATACGATGACTCCGTTAGAATCCTATACCAATTCACCGCCTTCTTGTGCCAAAGAATCTCGAAAAAAACACAATTCGTCCCAGTCAGAACATGAGCTCGATCAATTGTCAATTGACTCAATCGAGACTATCGATCTGACCGGAGAAGTTCCTCTTCCTTCCTTGTCAACGACTGAACCCCGCGCCCGCGAACCATCCCGACCACGGAACGAGGGAGCTATATCATTCCAAGGCTATCGCCAAAATCGGGGCAAGAAACGGAAGAGTAACGAATGCGCACCGGGCTTGCTTGCGCTCTCTGGATATCCCTTAAACATCGAAACCCTCTCTGAGGTAAACTCGTCACCACTCGCAAGAAACGCTTCTGCACAGCTGCCGGCAACGCCGAGTCGTCATAGTCCGCCTAACGATGCCAAGCTGTCTAAAGGAACGATCGCGAACGAGAACAACGACGACGAGTCATCTGATACCTGGTTCGATATTGACACCATATTCCCGGGTGCCGGATTAGTGTGTCCCCACAGCCACCTCGAAGCAACTCCCGAGGAGGTAGAGAAACGGAAACCACGCGACAGTCCAACTCGCAATTTGTATTCGAACGATGCCACACCACCGCCACCTTGTATTGCACGGGATACCAATCCGTCGCAGCCGCAGAACCCAGAGTCATTCCCGATCAGGATGGTCTCTAGTATTCAACAAGCAGACAACTCTTTCATGAAATTTTTGGCTATTCACTCGGAGACCCTGGCCCAATTGATGTCAATTTTGAAAGAAAAGCTCCACAACAACGCAGAAGTTATCTACCAACAGGCGATCGAAGGCCGACCAGCACCAGATCTTATCGCCGCAAATAAGGATCTTGTCTCCCAAATACAAACCATGGAATCCTTGCAAACGAGCAGGAGTGCTTATCAGAATTGTGCGACGCGCAAGGAAGACTTCAAGCAGAGCCTGATGCGTGTGATTTCCGAGGGCTCGGACCCAACAACCATGCCTGAGCTAGCACAGAGTCGAGTCTTCGAGGCTGAAATGGGAAATATTGAGGCCCAAATCCGCGAACTTCTCTCTCAAGCCAAGATCTTTGACATGGCTTGCAAATTAGGTATAGAGAATCTCTCGACTTCACTGAATAGATCTCACGCTCTCGAATAGCCCTCACAAATCTCAGGATTATGCAATCATTGAAAGCCACAGTTTGGTCGCATGCACTGGAAGAGAGATCCTGGCGGTCAATGACCTACATTAAAACCAAACACCATGGAACGACACAGCGAGGGAATTGACTATTTATTATGCGTTGATTAGTGCTTTTTCAGCCACTGGTACACCCGGTCTGCGATCTCAAGGTTGTTCTTCTCCATGAAGAACATGTGTCCGTTGCCATGAATACCCTCGTTGCCTAGATCTGCGTACTCAACGTCTACGCCAACTTGCTCCAGATACTTGACGGTGCAGTAATCGTATGGCGCATGGAACGATGCTTCGCCTGTAACAACAAGTTCTGGGATTTTGGCCGGGTTCGTCAACTGCTTCGCTGGGGCCTTCTGCATGATGCACTCGTCCTGTTCAGTGTCGATTGCTGGCTCGATGGTTGTCTCAATATTTTCGGCATTCTTGCCTGCAGACGGTTCGTATCCGATTGCGAGGTCGGTGAGACCGAAAGCGAAAGCTGGGTCATTTCCAAACGGCGGGCGGAGCGTGAACGGTGGACCAGACGGCTCGAGCTGGATAATACCCTTGACTAGGTCTGGGCGCATGTCTCCGACCCTCCAGCTTACTCAATCATTAACCACTTCAGCGAGTCATAGTGTTTGGCTGAAATTACCGTATGCACCCGCCTGCGAGTGACTGATGATATAACAGTCGCCTACGAGGTCGACTAGAGCTGAATATGCCTGCGCATTTTGTTCTTCGCTTATGAAGTGGTCCGTCTGGAACTGCATCTGGCTCTAGTAGAAAGCGTCGAAAGTTGAGTCGCCAATGCGACCGGTGCCAGGCCATTGCGTGTGAAGCTTCGCCTGTGGCCATTGGCTGTCGTTGTTTGCTACGTCGGTGAAAATATCAGAGACAGAGTGCTCGACAGCGTTCCCAGGACCGCTAGCCCGTTGCTACGTCAGCAGGTAGGAGAAAGCGGATGCTTGGCTGGTGGCCACCAGTGTTATATAAGCTTCTGCTTTATCTCATCTCGCCTTTGCCTGTATTCTTAACTCAAAACACTCAACAACTCATTGCCATCACCCGTCATCTTCGAACCAACAAAAGCCTTCTAAGCAGCACGTTTTGTCCCCTTTCGCTAACTGAACTCGAGCGCCCAAAATCATGGTATGGATAGTACGCATGAGAGGAGCCTTCCAAATGCTGACAATGTCATGCAGATTACTATTCTTGACTGCCCAGCAGAGATCGTTTGGATCATAGCCAGCTCCTTGCAGGGAAGCGATATTTCTGCTCTTGCTCGTACACATTCAACGCTCTATCCCAAGCTACGCCTAGCACTGATAAAATATAATATTTGGCACCCAAAAGGTTCTGCTCTTCATTGGGCCGCCAAAACCAACAATCGCCCCTTTGCAAAGACCTTGCTTTCCTACCGAGCCACGTAGATGCGATGGTCGATAATTTTTCTCCTCTCATGACAGCCGCAAAACATGGTTCAGACCTGGTTACCATATTTTGCTGCGTAAGAGAGAGCCGCGCGTGAATACGAGAAACGCGAACGGCCTGTGTGCTCCGTGGTACGGCGTGGAGAAAGGGTCATTTGCGGTCGTGAACCGGCTCCTTCAATACCCTCGTGTTAAGATTGATCTTCCAAATTGCCAGGGCTAAACAGCGCTCTGGCTTGCTGTCTACCGAGGCAACAGAGAATTGGCAAGCCTACTACTCTCAAGAGGCGCCAACCCCGATATCAAGAACATCGACAGTTCCTCGCCATGGATTGAAGCATACAGCAGCAATAAGAACTCCATCAAAGATCTGCTCCTAGATTTCATGTTCGCTTAGTCCCCCGAGAGGGCTTCAAAGGATGCGGATTTGCCCGAACGAGGCCAGGACAGTTATCTCACGGACAAAGGCCACGTTCAGCTACCAACGAAGCGTGTGAGATTTGCCCGTGTCTGACGATATTTTCCGACCGGAACGGCTCACTGGCTGTCTTTTGTGTTATCTTATTCAATTCGAGAACGAGAATTAATAACACAAGACACAATACGATGCGCATATTTGATTTGTAGATTGACTAATCATCACCTGTTGCCTTCACTCAATCGTACAATCTCAATAAGCTGCTTACCTTCATACATGTGTATTTGAATTCAATCGAAGTGTACAGCGCACATTGAGAGCAGGGCGAAGGCAGTGATCGGGGCAAATCTATTGAGGTTAAGAGGGGCCAGAAGTATATGGCGATATCCGGCGGTAACAGTAATCGTAGTGAGTACTTTGCTAGTCAGTGAACGTGGATGATGTTTGGCTGTACCAAAAAAGATACCCCTAGCGATCCCCTCCGATGGAGCTGCAACTTGTCTCCAATTTCTGCAATATCTGCCGCAGAACGAAACATACCCGATTGTAATATATCGCCGGCCAGCTGACAACAGGAACTGATGTCGTCCGCAACCACGCATCACGACGTTCATATGCGCTTGAACTGTTGTAATATGAGGCTGGTGCAGACCAGCAACATAGCCACACCACCGGAATTAATCCTGAGTTGTCTATACAGTCAACTCTCGCTTATACCACGGTGGGATATTGCACATTCTTGATAATAACACATCCCTTGCTTGGATGGCCCCTTCATTCCAGTTTTTTCCATATAAATTGACAGAATATAACACATTTTGTTTTACCACACTTTCTTCCTCTCAAATCTGCTTAGTCAGCGCAATCAACCAATCAGAATGCCTCAATCTACAAGCTCTCCTACCCTCCCGACCCCACCCAAGCGCGTCAGAATGGGACCAAAGCGTACCAAATTGGGTATATCAGACGCGCAGAAACAGGCACTACGGGCATTTTGGTCTAATACTAGCCCAAAGCCCACGCAGACTGCATGTGCTAAGTGGTTTGAGGACCAATTCAAACAAGTGATTGACCGGTCAACCATATCAAGGATCCTTTCATCCAAATACAATTATCTTGATACGGGCCCTGCAGGGGCAAACAAACGATCTTCATCCTCTCGTTGGCCATTATTGGACCAAAAGCTATATGACTGGGCAGATAACCATATTGGCAATGGAATACCAATAAATGGCCCTTTGATCCAAACTAAAGCAGCTGAGCTTTGGAGACAAATACCGGAATACAAAGATCGGACCAAACCTCAATTCTCTGAGGGTTGGTTAACTCGCTTCAAACAACGCCACTCTCTTCAATATCATACTTTCCACGGAGAAGCTGCCTCAGTCCCATCCTCGGTACATGATCAGATCAAAAGCACCAAATCGATTTGCAATCAATTCAAACCGTCCGAAATCTACAATATGGATGAAACTGGCCTATTTTGGCGACGTATGCCAAATGGTGGTCTTTCAAAGGGAAAAATTGCTGGCAAAAAGCTTGATAAAACACGAATCACTATTGTTGTTGCATCAAATGCGGATGGTTCCGATCGAGTCCCTTTATGGTTGATTGGCACAGCAAAAACCCCTCGCGCACTCCGGGGGGTTAATTTCCGAGCTCTGGGATGTGTTTGGCGTCACAACAAGGCAGCATGGATGCGTCATGACATTATGGAGGACTGGTTGCGATCTTTCTATGGGCGTATTCCCTTAGATAAGAAAGCTTTGCTCCTTTTAGACAATGCTTCACCACATGTTATTGGACTCCAGCGAGCGCCACCACCACCCCGGATTACGGTTGTTTTTTTGCCAGCAAACGCAACTTCAATTTATCAACCCTTGGACCAAGGTATTATCCAAAACTTGAAGCACCATTATCGGAAGAAATGGATGCGCTATATGATTGCTTTTCTTGATCGTGGGATAGACCCAAAACAAAGAATGAGCATTTATTATACTGTTACCTGGGTAACGCAAGTTTGGAGAACAAGTGTATCAGACCAAACGATTATCAATTGCTTTAAACAAAGTACTTTGATTAGTCCAAAGTCTATACCTATACCTGAGTCCGCGCCCGAGTCCGCACCTGAGTCTGCACTATTTTCCGAGCCCGGATTGAGTGATGAGATTGAAAGTCTATATAATCAAGCAATTGATAAGCTTGGTGATAAAGATATTGTGCCATTTGACGAGTTTTTGAACCCTTCGGACGAAGACATGTTAGAAGATGGGACTGAAGGGCGAGATGAGACCAATGAGCAAGATATATATATTGCCCCAACAACCTCAGAAATTCAGGATATTGACATTGATGGGCCCCCACCTGAGCTTCTGTCTAATTCTGCTATATTGGACAGCCTCCAGGATATCCTACTATGGGTTTGTAGCAAAGAAAAGGGTACCTCGGACCATATTAGACAAATTGAGAGCTTAATCAGCGACTTTGGCAGGATTCAGATTGATGAGAAACGTCAGGTGACTTTGGATCAGATGATGGGATGGAAGACTAAATAGGTATTAGGGCTTAGAGTTAGCTTGTCAAATATTATGTCATCCTCTCACCAAAACACAACTCAATTATACCACGTAATTTGGCTTGGATAGTATGCTGTGGTATAAGCGAGAGTTGACTGTACAAAGAATCAAGTTGATTGAAAATCAGCTTGATCCTCTTGTCATATATATAGCGTCATGTTTCCTTCTCAACGAACAATAAAATTAATTCCTCTGAATTAGATCATGGACGATTCTAGATTATGATAAGCAGTCTTGTTGGCCGCGTTCACCAGCATCTTCAATTCGCCCTCATCCCCCAATTGCTCGGACGGTTTGCTCTGATTGGTCAGCAGGTGACTCAAAAGGGCTTGGCGGTCAAGGCTTACGCGTAGTAGCATCTCCGGTGAATTGCATCTCTTCAACTCGTCCGGCAGACTCTTTACTTCGGCACTCCATGGGTATTGCGAAGGATTCTTCATGATCAGTCTCTCCACCACCTCCGCCACAGCAAACAGTTCCATTGTGGCTGCGTCCATCTCGGCTGCATCGATCTTGCAACTTGTTCCACTCCCGCTGCCACATGGCTAATTGTCA